GGGCGGGGGGGGGCCGCGGCCCCCGGGCCCTCCGGACCGCCGAACAAAGCAGGGGAAGGGGCTGGCGGGGCGCCCCCTGGCGGGCTCGGACAACAGCTGCAGACGCGGCGGGGGTGGGGGGGGGGGGGGGGGGGGGGGCCCCGGCCCAGGGCCCCCCCCCCCCCGGGCCCCGGGCGGGCCCCCTCCGCCCCGCCCCCGCTGACCCCGCCCCTGCCCCTGGGCTCTGACGGCCCCCGGCCTCCCCGGGCGCCCCCAGACCCCATCTCCATCCTCCTCCCGCTCCGGGCTCGGGAGCCGCGCTCAGCTGTTCTTAAAGGGGCAGGCCCTCCTTTTTGCGGGAGAGGGACCCTTCCTTAAAGCGACAGGCCGCCGGAGAGGCTCCGCCTGCAGAGGGGGGATCCTAATCCAACCCCCTCATTTCGCAGAGGGGAAGAGACTTGCCCAGGGTTCCCCGGGATCACAGGATTTGGGGGGCGGGTAAATGCCCTTCGGAGGACCTCTCGGCCAACCCCCCCCCCATTTCTGCAAAGAAGAAAACAGAGGCCCAGAGAGGGAAGGAATTTAGAGACTGTTCAGTCCAATCTCCCCTCTTTACAGATGAGGAAACTGAGGCCCAAAGGGAAGGGAATAAGCATTTATTACATGCCTGGCACTGTATACTGGCTAAGCAGTATATTATCTCATTTGATCCTCAGCCTATGAGGTAGGTGCTATTATGATCCCCATTTTACAGTTGAGGAAACTGAGGCGGGCAGAGGTGAAGTTGACTTGCCCAGGGTGACGCAGCTAGGGAGTGTCTGAGGCTGGATTTGAACTCGGGGCTTCCAGACTCCAGGGTCCCACCTGTGGCAACCTAATCCCCTGAATCCAAATCCAGTGGTCTTACTGTCCTTGGCTTCTTTTCCAGACGCCTTGTCTTTTCTCCCAGCTGCGCAGCCTCCTTTTACAATGGCAGCTAGCTGCTCCCTGGGCCAGGGAAGGGCTTCTGCTTGCATGGGATGGAGTTTCCTTCTCATGACAGTGCAAGCACCACCTTCTTGACCTTGGGCAAACCCCCTTCCCTCCCTGAGCCTCAGTTTCCTCCTTTGTAAAATGAGGTGGACTGACCAGGATGATTTCCAAGGTCCGTGACACTCGTGCTTCTGCTCCTCCCCGTATCCCTTATCCATGGTACCATGGGGTGGAAGCCCAGCCCTACCAATTAATATAGACCCAAACTTTCCCCTCACTGGGGCAATTTCCCAGTCTGGAAAAGGGGAGAGTTGAACTTGGTCTCTACCGTCCCACCCGCCTCTCCAATCCCATGATGCTATGAATTCATAGCTTAAGGAGATGGATGAACTTGGGGAGTCCCAGAGTCTGAGTTCAGATCTGCCACTCGTATGACCCTAGCCAAGCTCCAGACCCCTCTTTCAGCCTCAGTTTCCTCACCTGTAAAATGGGGTTGGGCTGGATGGCTGCTTTGTGCCACGGCCATCTCCCTTCTTTTCTTCCAGGGACAGCCCCGAGGACTCTTAAGGATCAGAGCTCCCCCTCCCCGCTTTGACTTCTCAGTCTGACTTATTCCAGGCACAGACAATTCCTTAGGAGCCTGAGAAAAATCTGCTCACTTAAACAAAGTCCGACTAACATACGGACAGAGAAGAGTGGGGAGCGCAGACCTCCCCGCCCCCGCAGTCCGAGAGCCCCCAAACCAATTGATATTACGGGATCCAGTGACTTTTGGGGCCCCACAGGATTAGGCTGCTCTAGGACCCTACCTATTAAAGAAACAGCCCATCCCCACCCTTGTTATTTAAAGAGACAAAGCCCTTGCCCTCTTAAAGGAACAGTGCATCCTCCTTTGTTTAAAGTAAGATCCGAGTCATTTGGGGCTGGAGGGGACGTTGGAGGTCGTGTATTCCAGTCCTCTCATTTTACACAAGAGGAAACAGGCCCTGAGGGAGGAAGAAGGCACTTGACCCAGACCCAGAAGCTCTCCAGAAGCTCTCCAGAGCCAGGATTTGAACCTAGGGCCTCCGACTCCAGCCCTACCATTGGTTTCTTTGCATTTGGTTTGAATGGTTTGAATCCCAGCCCCCCAGACTGTCAGACCTTGGGCAAGCCATTCACCTCCCCTTCTGTGGACCGAGGAGGTTGGACTGGATGCCCTGGGAGCCGGCTCCCAGCTCCAGACCAGTGTCCTAGCGCTTGGGGGGGCGGCCAGGGAAGGGGTGGGGTGAAGCCTCAGCAGCCTGCCAGCGCTGGGAGGCGGGGCGGGCGTCTGGGGGTGGGGGACGACACCAACGAGGGCCAGAGGCAGCCCCCCCCATCAGAGTAGTGCCCGACAGGCGCTTCTGTGCCCCGGGACGCCGGCGCCTTTAAGAAGTGGTAAGTTGCCCGGCTGACTTAAAGGGGCCAGCTCTATCAGCGCTGCCTCCATCCCAACAATGTCTAGCCTTCCTCTTTTGTTCCTTCCTGGGAACACGTATAGACTTTCGGTAGCGAGGAGGGCTATGCAGAGAACTCGCCGTGAGGTTCCCAGAGCCTCTTCACAGCAGCCTGGAGAAGGCAGAGTGCAAACGTAATTATCCCTATTGCAAAGAGTGGGGAAAGTGAGGCAAGTGACTGATGGCCCTGGCCCAGCAGCAGAACCCAGGTGTCCTTACGCCCAGGCTTTCACTCACCTAGTCTGCCCCCTTCATTGTACAGATGAAGCCCAGAGAGGCGCAGTGACTTCAGTCCACAGGCAGACGCCTACTGCGTGCTGGCCCCTGTGCTGGCTGATGGGGCTTCCAATTCGTGGCCTCAGGCTGGGGGAGAGGGGAGAGGAGGGGAAGGGCAGGAGACACACTGGGACACTAAGCAGATCTGTGAGCTCTAACTCTGAATCCAGTGCAGGCCACCCAGAACTGCCTCTACTTTGGCTTAAGGCAAAAATCAGAATTCCCTTCACACAAGGCAGGACCCATCACCCCCTACCCTGCACTGGCTGCCACTTTCTTAAGGGCAAGGAGCCCCCTATTTGGAATTCAAATAGATTTTTTTCCACTAAAGGGAGGGAGGGAGTGTCTCTTCTCCGTTTTCTACAGTTTGGCTCCACTAGTGTTTCTCAAGCAAGGTAAAAAGCTCCCTGCCTAGCTGACTTCCTCCTCCTTCTCCTCCAGGGACCCTCTGCTAGGATGTTCCCAAGTGCCCCACCCAGGCCTGGAAGCTGGGCCTGGGACCAGCGGTGAATTGGCTCGGGTTTCCCTTGCTCATTTGCATTGGGTAGTGGTTGATGGGGAGGGGCATTTTTATAGTTCAAACTTGGCCCCTGGTTTTTCTTTCCTAGTGTTGTGCTCTGTCTTCCACCGGCCCTCCCAGACCCAGATCCCTGGGCCCCCACTTTAGAAGTGAGAGCAGGAAATAGTTGGAGGGGGAGGGGAGGGGATGGAGGGGGTGCTGGCACACCCTGGTGCAGGGCCAGGGCTTTGGGAGCACTGTTTGAGTTGGCCTGGGATGAGGCCACTCCTAAAGGTACCCTCTGTTCTCTTACCAGGCCGCTGGCTTAACTCAAGAAAGAGACAGACTTGACCTGCTAGGGCTGGCCCTGAAGGGCTGGGGGCAGCTCTCTGCAGCCTGAGCCTGGCCTCCCTTCTTCCACTCCCTGTCCCCTGGGGCTCCTGGGGGGGTGTCGAGCAAGATAGGTGCCCAGAAACTTTCCTAGAGTGTTGCCTGTCCCAGGGGCTTGGGGGCGGATTTGAAGGAAAGGCCTGAACCCAGAGGAGAGGCAGTGGTATCATGCTCTCTCTGGATCAGGGGTTAGAGGCCGGGGCTTGAACTTTGCCACGTACATGATCTTGGGCAGAATGTTTGCCCTCTCTGGGCTTCAGTTTCTTCATTTGTAAAAGGAAAGAATTGGATTTGGTAACTTTGGGCTCCTTTCAGCCCTGCCATTCTCTATTCTGAGGTGGGTTCTGGCTCTGACATTCCAGGTTCTAAGGCCCCTCCCCCCTCACATTCCACTTTCTAATGTCCCCTCCCAGCTCTAGGCCCCATGAATGCCTCTCCACTGGGGGGGGTGGGGCTGGTCTTCCCCGGTCTGGCCTGGGCAGTAAAGCTGGTCATGCTTGTAGCAGTTACTGAAGACAGGTGTCCTCTTTGTCCAGCTTCTCTCTGAAGGGACAGCCCCTGCTTTCCTATGCTCTGGTGGCCCCTTCTCCTAAAGCTTCTGGCGCATTCCCTCTTAAAGGGACAGATTCCTTCTTTGGACTACTCTTTTCTAAGGATGCCCAATTATATGATCTGTCCTAATATCCTTTTGTTCCACTCCCTCTTAAAGAAACAGCGCCTTCTTTCCTGCTTTTCTTTAAATGGCTGCAACCTTAGCACCCCCTAGTCATCTTCCCTGAGACCTCACTTGAAACCCCTAGGTCTGCAAGGGAAAGGAACTCTGGATTTGGAGTCACAAGCATTGGGTTCAAATCCTGGTTCTGCCACTGATTACTTCTGTGTGACCTTGGGCAAGTCACTGTGGTTCAGAGAGTTTCAATCAATAAACATTTATTCAGCACTTAAGTTTGAGGCACTGTGCCAAGCTTGAGAAAGGTAATGAGCTCACAGTCTGAAGGCAGGGAGACGACAGGCAAACAGGCACAGGATGTACCAATCAGTCATTCAGGAGGGTCGGACTGTTAGAGGGGCTCCTCTTCCGTCATCATGCCTTTGAACACCCTCCATGGGATTTTCTTGGCAAAGACACTGGAGTGCTTTGCCATTTGCTTCTCCAAATCAGAGACAAGACAGATAAGTTGGAGATAATCCCCTGATCCCTCCTGGGCAAAACAAGGTTAGATGATATGATCTCTGAGCTCCGTCCTGGCCTCAGTTTCCTGATTCCATTCATCTGTGCTATCCATTCCCACATTCTTCTGCTTCCACCTCCCCCCACCCCCCTCCACCATTTTATTCCCTTTCTAGGACCAGGGAGTAGAACTCTTGGGTTCTCTTTGAACTATGGGTGAAATCCACTTCTGCTATGCCTCCCTCCCCTCCTAGGGCAAGAGCCGAAGCCAGAGGGCGGTGCCTTGGGGTCCCTCCCCTCCCCCAGGAGCAGGGCTCCCCCCTCTGGCCGGAAGTATTCGGACCACTGCGAAGCCCGGGCCTCCCGCCCCGGCAAGAGTCGAATCCCTGGCCGAGACCATCGTCGATACTACCATGACCATTGGCGGCTGGAATACCTGATGGACTTCAACCCAGCCAGGCACGGGATGGTGTGCATGGTGTGCGGCAGCTCTCTGGCCACCCTCAAGCTCAGCACCATCAAGAGGCACATCCGTCAGAAGCACCCCTACTCCCTGCACTGGAGCCCCCGAGAGAAGGAGGTCATCAGCAGCAGCTGGGATGCCCACCTTGGGCTGGGGGCCTGTGGGGAGGCCGAAGGGCTAGGGGCTCGAGGGGCTGAGGAGGAGGAAGAGGAGGAGGAGGAGGAGGAGGAGGAGGAAGAGGAGGAAGAAGAGGAGGGAGCCCCTGCTGCTCTCCCCGTTTGCCTACCCAAGAGCACAGGTAAAGTCGGGAGGGGGGAGGGGGGAAGGGAGGTGGGAGGGAGGGAGGAGAGGGGCAGAGAGAATGAAGGGAGAGTGAAAGGAGCCCAGGACAAGGGGCTGCCTTTGTTCATCCCTCCCAGCCCCTTCCGGCCTCATTTTCCTCTTCTGTAAAAGGAGGGGTGGTCCTTCCCAGCTGACATTTTGGAAGAAGTCTGTCGGGGGACCTTTAGGGACCTGAGGGGAAGATAGTAAGATGTAGAGGCCATGTTCAAGTCGTCCCAGCCCCCCCCCCCCGTTTTATAAAGGGGGAAGCCAAGGCCCAGAAAGGAAAGGACTAGACTAAAGTCACACATATATAGTAGAGCTGGGATCTGAACCCAGACCCCTGACTCCCAAGCCTGGCTGTGCCCTTTCCTCTGGAGAATTAAGGAAGCTGAAGGAGTCGATTGAATGTGGACAGTTGGGAAAGAGCCAGTGGAACCTGGTGGTCTAGGAAGTCAGTGCGTGGGCCCTGGGGTGTGTGTGTGTGTGTGTGTGTGGAATGAGGTAGTGAAGGTGGAGCCCAGGGAGTGAGGAGGGAGTTGGGGAATGGAAACGCCCAGACAGAAGGTGGCAACAGTGGGAAGAAGGAGAGGGAGGCCCGCCGATTAATGAAGGAAGTGAGGTAGTGCGGGGCTGAGGGGGGCCCACTGGACGGGCACTCAGAGGACCGGGGTTATCATCCCAGCCCTGAGCAAGGCCCTTGCCCTGCCTGGGCCCTTTTTTCCTGATCTACTGAGGAGCGCGGTTGGACTCGGGACCCTGCCTCCTTCCAATTCTGAGCCCCAGGCCCTCAGAGGGGGGGTGGGGTGGGCAGATGGGGGCGGGGCAGAAGCCAGACCCCCGCCCTCAGTTGCTTCTCCCCCTCTTGTTCCAGGGCGATCCTCTTCCGGCAGTGGGGGTGGCCGGCTCCGGAGGCGCGGGGGCCCTTCAGCTCCCCGACGGCCCGGGGCAAGTGGAGGGCTGGGGGGCCCCCGGAGTCTGGAGCGGCGGCTGAAGGAGTCCCTGCAAAGCTGGTTTCGGGCCGAGTTCCTCATGGACTACGACCCTCGGGGCAACCGGCTGGTGTGCATGGCCTGCGGCCGGGCCTTGCCCAGCCTGCACCTGGATGACATCCGGGCGCACGTACTGGAGGCACACCCTGGCTCTCTGGGGCTCACGGGCCCGCAGCGCAGCGCTTTTCTGCAGGCTTGGGGCACCTCGGCTGCGGGGCCACCCCACCCTCCAGCAGGTGCGAGGCCTGACAGCTCCCCAACCCGCGGGGGCTCGGGGCTGTCGGGCGGGACGGGGCGCCTCCGGGCCGTCCTGGTTTTCTTTTGGGCGGGGGGGGGGGGGGGGAAGAAGAGAGAAGCACTCAAGCTGGACTGCTAGGCATCGGCTCCTGGGAGCTCTCCCTGGCTCTCGGCATGGGCCATCAGCCCAAGGTTCACGACTAGGACGCCCCACACTGGGTAGCGCGATGCAGTGGGGTGTTGGCGAAAGGAGCCTGAACTGGGGGGCAGGACGCCCGGGGTCCGAGTCTGAGGTCGGCAGGCCTGTTAAATGAGGGAATTCGACGTGGTTCAGTTCCAAATGCATTGATTAGGTCCTTCCCCTGCGCTGGGCTCTCGGCTTTCATCAGCCCCTGCCCTCAGTCGTACCAGCTTCTTTCCAGATCTAAGATCCATGGCTAACTGTGACCTTGGGCGAGTCTTTTCCGGGGGCTAGACTCCCTCAGCTCTCTTGTCGGGTCCCCGATGGGGACAAGGGTTGGAAGGCGGCTTCATAGGGACCCCCCGAATGGGCCACAGGGCTGAGCTCCGTCTCTCCTTCCGTCCCCCCAACAGACGACGACCTCGGCCCTCGAGACCTGACCCGAAAAGCGCAGGCTGCAGGCGCAGCCGCCTCCTCCCTGCAGCGCACTCTGTCCGCCCCTGGGGCCCGGGGAGCCGCGGCCGGAGCGGAGGCGGCTGCGGCAGCCGGGGCATCTGGTGGCCTGCCCCGGGGCCGCGACCATCGGCGCTACTACCAGGAGCGCTGGCGGCTGGAGTACCTGATGGAGTACGACGGCGGGCGCCGCGGCCTGGTGTGCATGGTGTGCGGGGGCGCGCTGGCCACGCTCAAGATGAGCACCATCAAACGGCACATTCGCCAGCGGCACCCGGGCTCCACCGGCCTCAGTGGGCCCGTCAAGGCCCTCATTGCCCAGGAGTGGAGCCGCAAGGCCACGCACCTGCTGGCCCTGGGGCTGCCCTTCTCCGAGCCCCCGGGGGTCCGGGGCCACAGGGCAGAGGAGGAGGAAGAGCAGGAACGGGGAGGAGAAGGGGAGCCCGACGAAGAAGAGGAGGGAGAGTGGGGTGAGCTCGAGGCACGGGGCCCCAGAGGCGGAGGAGGGAAAGAGGGGAACCAAGAAAGAAAGGCCGCTTGGGAGGGGCGAGAGGAGAAAAAGGGGGAGCCAGAAGAGGGCTTCTTGCAGCAGGGGGGAGGGGAGGTGGGGCACGATGTCCTATTCGAGCTGCGTGGGAGGGGAGTGGGGAGGAAGAGAGAAGTGGGGGGGCCAGGGAAGGGGGCCTGAT